TATACAGGTAAATTTGTATCGGTACATGTTAGATAAGGTCAAGCTGACTATGACTGATCCTAGAAATGTTTTTAAATCGTCTAGGAACGCTAAAACCAAATATTATTCACAATTAATATTTTTAGACCTGTTAAATGTAAAAGTCCACCTATATTGGAGGAAGTATGACTACATTTCGTAGTCTAGTTTTAGTCATTTCTGTGTACCTAAATCAGTTTGACAGCCGATGTGGCGCAGTGGTTAGTATGCCTGCCTGCCACGCAAAGGTTCCGGGTTCAATTCCCGGTGGGGTCACTCACAAAGTTGATATTTATCACTTTGTGAATTTGTTCCCAGTCTGGTTAGGACATTGCAGGCTGAACCACCTGATTGTCCGCAAGTAAGATGGTTCCGTGCTTCGGATGGGCACGTTAAGCCGTCGGTCCCGGTTGCTGTCTATGATGGCGGCCAAGGATGGCGGTCGTTACACAACCACGTCAGAGGCCTGCTACTTGTAGTAGGCGGTTGAAAAACTCTGACACCAGGATTCATCGGGTCGTTGAACGACTCGGTGTCCCACACGAAAAGAGAAAGTTTGGGAAGAAGTCGACTTGCAGTCCGTTTGTGCATACACCAACCAGCAACCTCTACAACACGCATAAATAAAATTAGTCGTGGAACGGTCTATTGGTTTCTTTCTCAGTCACCGCAGTCAGTATGTAGAAATTCGAAATTCCGATAACAGCACATCTACTTCATCGCTCTCAAATGTCACAAGAGGTGTCCCCCAAGGGTCTATTCTGGGCCCTATTTTATATACACTCTACAGTGCCGATATGATCTCATTTATACAAAATTGTAAACATCATGTATACGCTGACGATACGCAGTTGCTTTTTTCTTTTAAGCCTGCCGATATTCGTAACGCTGAACAAAAAATTAATGACGATCTGCAAAGGTTAGCTGATTGGTCTTCCAGAAATTCTCTGGTGCTTAATCCCACAACATCCAAATATATGATTTTGGGTTCTAAAAATCAAATAGCTAAGACAATAGCCAAACATCCTAATATAAAAATAGAAGGTGTACGTATAGAAAGTTGTCATGAAGCCCGTAACCTGGGAGTGGTTATGGATTCTGAGTTGCGATTTGAAAAACATATTGAAGAAGTAGTACGTAACTGCTTTTTTAGATTAAAGATTCTGTATAAAGTTCGAGACTATTTATCCGTTCAACTGCGATCGAGGCTTGTGGAATCTTTAGTCTTATCTAAACTCAATTATGCAGATGTAGTCTATGGTCCTCGTTTATTGGCTCGCACTAAACAATGAATACAGCGTGTGCAAAATGCATGTGCAAGATTTTGTTATAATATACCACCAAGACATGCAAATTCGCTAAAAATGTCTACCCGACGTTATTTACATTTTGCAACTCTACTTTTTGGGGTTATCAAGATGCGCAAACCTGAGTATCTGTACGAGGGCCTGGTCTGGTCTTCCCGAAGCCGCCTTGCTCTTTTGAAAATACCCAGACACAAAACGAGTGCTTTTCAGGGTAGCTACAAGTACGCTTCTGCAAAGATCTGGAATGATCTACCTCCACCGCTGCGAAATCTGTCATCTGTTCGCAGTTTTTCAATTAAATTAAAAAAGTATTGTTTAAATTTACAGATAGAAGAAGCTACTTGTGACTGCTACTTATAAAGTTGATATGTAGGATTGTATTTGTATTATATTTTTTCTTTTTTCTCGGCCTATTTATTATTGTGTGTTTAAATTCTAAATCTATTTATATAATAATTTGTACGTTTTTTGTCAGTCCCTAGTTGACTGTTATTATTAATGTAAAATTTTCAGCACCGTTTTAACTTCACTTAGTTTATAAGCTTTTGGGTTCTGCTGAAAACCAGCGTTGCAGTCTACGACTGTGACACATGCTGAGCAAGATACCCTTTTCAGTACTGCATGTAACATATTCTTAGTTGTAAGTTTTGATTGATTTACTGAATAAATTATTTTTCTTTCTTTCTTCTTTCTTTATCTAATTGCATATCTAATACTGTGAACATTAGTATGTCTTATTAAAACAATTAAGTTACTAAAATAGAAAAAAATACAAGACTAGTTTTATACAATCAATCTTAGGTTGGGTAAGATAGTTTGGACTTTCGATAGTTTTTATGCGACACGCATAGAGCTTATATTGGCGGTTCAAATATCTAACTGGACGTGAAATTCACTGTACGTACGTACATGATGCTAAAAATAACTCATTCAACAGAGCAATCATCATCAAACTTATCAGTGTAATGTCTTTAAACATTATGCAAAGTATTCTACTGCCTAACTTATTATATAAAAGACATTTTATATGGCCAAAGGCATTAAGTACTAAAGATTACATTTTATACAATAAGGAAGCCACTTATGTAATGTCTTTAAACATTATGCAAAGTATTCTACAACCTAATTCTAAAGAAGTCATTTTATACGATAAGCCTAACCTAACTAGAAGTATTTCACAACACACGCCCATGCACAATAGCAACACAATTGCCGCACATAATTCCATGAAGAATGCAGCAAATGCCGGACGTACGGGAATCGGCCGATCAGTGGCCAGTCAGGCGTGTAACTCAGTCGCGCCCAATCTTACTCAAACGATCTACATTGCATTGATTCGCTCGTACATTGCACATATCCTGCGTTTTGTGTGGAGAAATATACGGTGATTTTTTTCTAGTGACCGGTAACGAAAATTCAGGACGGGCTGGTGATAAGGAATAACGTTCCCCAAGAAACATTGAATATGAAAAAAAACATTGGTCCTCCCATACAAAATACAGCTGATTCTGGGTTATCAAATTTCACCCTGTATATTTTGCGTATGTATGACACGCTGATTTATAATATTTTCATGTGAGACAGTATTTTAAATACGGTATTGAAAGCAACTAAAGGACATTAGGTTCTACAACTCCTGTAACTTTGTATCTTAAGCGAAGTAGGTGCTTCCATACACGTCACCCCTGCCCCTTTTACAGTTTATTGCGCACAAAACATAAAGACATACTACACAACAGCAGTATGCTTCATTTCGATGTAGTCTTCCAGCTGGCCTACGGACGTGAGAAATTTTATTGGAAATATAAGATGTGATTTTTCATAAACTCTTCAAATTGCCTGGGTAGTGACATGAATGAAATTTCGAAGCCCTCACTAGGGTTCGATTACACAGTTGTATGGCGATCCCGTTCTCACTTGAGTCTATTACAAAAATGTCAGGATCATCAAAAAACTGGCTATAAAAATGTACCACTACAATGAATAACATTATTATCACTTATTTAACGAAGTTGTAAGAGCATCTTACCTTATGTAGACTCTGTTTCAGCCGAGAAGATGGCCGGTGAGAAAGGCATACATGCCACGATCATCAAAAAACTGGCTATTAAAATGTACTGCCAATATCTCTAGCATTATTATCACTTGTTCCACGAAGTCGTAAGAGCGTCTTACCTTATGTAGACTTTGTTTCAGCGGAGAAGATGGCCGGTGAGAACGGCGGCCCAAGTCAGACAAACGGGGCGCCGCCGACGGGGGAGCTGCGCGGCGAAAGGTTCACCCTTACGCTCACTAAAGGGACACAGGTGAGTTCATACATAATACTCTATAACAACCTCAATAAAGTCCACTGCTGAACATGGGCCTCCCCCTAATAGGAATGTATTTGCCATACTCACCACGCTTGGCAGGCGGATTGAACCCCTGGATGAATTTATCCCTTAGTCGCCTCTTACGACACCCACGGCGAAGATATGGGGTGATGACATTCTAAGCCGGCATAATATAACAGAAACCAAAGTTCATCATCATCTGCCTGCCCTTATCCCAAATCAGTTGCGGTCAGCGCAACATGTTTTGTTAGAGCACAAAATCAAAAGGTTGCAAAAGGATTTCATCATCATTACAGCAGTTCATTGCTGAACATAGGCCTCCCCTAGGGCACGCCACAAGGCACGATCTCCCGTTTTCGCCATCCAGTCGCTACCAGCCGCTCTCTTTAAGTCATTGGTCCATCTGACCGGAAGACGAAATGATTTCGCTATATTTTATAATCGGCCGCCAAGCAATTATACCTGCATATTTCATGTTGCTGTGTTGCTCAGTGCTTTGCCGTGTGGTAACGGCTAAGTATACTGCCACCCCTAGTCTACTCAGGGTGTTTCGTAAAAGGCGACGTAGAGTTCTTGCCCTCGGCTGAATATCTGTCGACTATGGTCAACCGCATAGTGGCGGTGATACCACCTACAATAGCATTCCCAAAGAGGGTTGACGTCAGGCAGGCGACCGGTCATAAAACATAGCCAAATCCTTTTGCTGCATGATTTTGTATTCTGACAAATCATGTTGCGCCGACCCCAATTCATTTGTGATAAGGGCAGGAAGATGATGATGTGTTGCTTAGTGCTGTAATCGGCAGGACTTTAAGTTTTAAAGTGGGTTTTTATCGACTGGTTGTAAATCAGGTTACGCTGAACTTTGTAATAGTTTACGATCTTAGGTAACTTTGCGGTAATGCAAATAAACAATTAACAACTGACCAACGCATCGATGTACTTCCAGGGTCTCGGTTTCACGCTGATTGGAGCTGAAGGTATACCGGAAACGGAAGGGTATCTTCAGATACGCAGCATCGTGCCACACAGCCCAGCATGGGTCGACGGTAAGTTTAACAAGCATACAAAAACCTGACTGTCCTTATTTGCAATTAATTTGGAATCGCGAAGTAGGGAAACCAATGAAGGATAATTTATTCACTCAAAAGTAGTTTCCTAAGCCTAGTATAGTATGCTATTCTACTCAAAAGCACGAGACGTAAATGAATTTCTCTCAGGTGGTTATTACAATTTTTGACCGCTACCAGTGGGAATATTATATAAAAACGTTTCCTTTAATCGGACAAAACGCTTATAAAAAGAAATAAATAATTGAAAATAAGAAATAGAAAAAATGTCATACATCGACCGGGAATCGGACCCGGGCCGCGTAGGTAAACGCCCCACCGCTCTGCCACTGAGCTATCGATGTACCTGCCGATGGATGCCAAATTTTCTATCTCTTGATGCTCGTCTTGAAGCGACGATCCAGCGACATCTATAGAAAGTGTTTAGAACTTACTATATGGTTAGTCCACATTATGAGTGCAATTCAAACCATATGATGAAGCTTGCTTAATCGATCTATTGGAATTTTAATGCACTCACAGTGCTATATATATATATATTTTATGGTGTACCACACGAAACCATTAATAAAATTACGATTGTTTTTTCGTACTTTCGTATTATATAAATGTTCTAAATTCAAGGCATTTTGCCTCACACTGAAAGCAATTTTCGCATTTTTTATGCATATATTGATGATAGAATAAAACCGATCGTCTTGATCTTCGCTTGGAGGCCATCATCATGAGATTGAAATTTGTCAGGCATCGACAGCTCAGTGGCAGAGCGGCACGGGTTCGAGCCCCAGTCGATGAATGTCATTTTTTCAATTTCTTATTTTCGTTTATGAGGGTTACATAAGTTTCGATAATTCAAATTCGTGAATAAAAACTGTTCTACTGACTATGGTTGTGTGCTGTCGGCTTAGATTTGCATTACCCCATATCTACCCTTGGGTGTAGTAAAAACTGACTAAAACTGACTAAGGGATGAATCCAGGGAATGGGCAGGGTTCTCTTTAAATACAACACCTGGCACTGCGCTTGCCAATCCGCCTGCCAAGCGTAGTGTGGTGAGTATGGCAAATACCCCCCTAATAGAGGCAGGCCCATGTCCAGCTCCAGCAGTGGACTGTTAGGCTGGTACATGTAGTTTGTGACTATGGTTTGCTTGAATCTACAATTTTCTGTATTTCAGGTGCCCTGAGACCTGGGGACGTATTGGTCGGCGTCGGCACGCGCCCCGTACGCGGCCTGTCGCACGCTCAAGTGGCGCAGATATTCCAGTCCATAACACCTGGCACTGACGTGGTGCTACACCTTGTTAGAGGTAAGCAAACAATGCTTTATACAAGCACTAATGACAAGTATTAGTCCTGTCTGAGGCCTGTTACACGCTCAAGTGGCGCAGATATTCCAGTCCATAACACCTGGAACTGACGTGGTGTTACACCTTGTTAGAGGTAAGCAAACAATGGTATATACAGGCACTAAAGACAACTGTATTGGTCCATACACGGCCTGTCGCACGCTCAAGTGGCGCAGATATTCCAGTCCATAACACCTGGCACTGACGTGGTGTTGCACCTTGTTAGAGGTAAGTCAACAATGCTTTATACAAGCACTGCTGCATTGGTTCTTACACGGCCTGACACACGCTCAAGTGGCGCAGATATTTCAGTCCATTACACCTGGAACTGACGTGGTGTTGCACCTTGTTAGAGGTAAGTAAGCAATGCTTTATACAAGCACTCGTAAAAAAGAAATCAACCTGTGCCTGATTTTACGAAACTACAGGCTACAATTCTACAGGTGAAGTTGTCGTGTTACCCAGGTTCCTAGAGGCACCGGCACTCAGGGAACCGAGGTAACCGCAGGTGTAACTTAGTAGCTAGGTAGGGCGGAGTGGTCTCGCTAGCACGAGTGCCTGTGGCCCCGGGGGGCGTGAGTGAGTAGGTGTGGGTAGAGTGTCCTGTGTGTAGGCGCCCTAACAAGCCTGGTGCCCTCGCGCGTAGTGAGGGGCCGCGGCAGGAAAAGATAGTAAGTAAACCAATACTACTTTTATTAGCCACGTATACAAATAAGTAACCTCCTGACACCGAAAAGGTCACAAGACGCGCGGACTCACACAGCGTAGAATCGCCCTCCCACGGTCAGCGTGCGCTCGGCAGGAACTTGGGTCCTTCAGGCTCGACGGCGACTCGGCAACTCGTCGTGGACGCTTGCGGACGGCAAAGCTTCTTTAGCTTCTGGACTTGAGGCTTCTGAGTTCTTGAGGCTTCAGAACTTACTTCACTTACTTTGTTACTTCACTTTAGACTTTTTACTTCTTTTTTATTTCTTAGATAATTGGAAGTAGAGTAAAGACGTAAAGACTGGTAAATACTGATCTTTTGACAGCTTGACACGCCTTATATATGCTTGCCAGGCGTTCGAGAATGTTCTAGTCTTCTTTCTGATTTCGAATTTCAAAGACCTTGAGGTTTGTCAGTGACCAGTTTTCTTGCACGTTGCCAGAGTTGATGGTGGAGGTTTGTCGCCCTGATGATGTAGTGGTTTGTCTAGGCGACGAGGGCAGTCCTGTGGCTTCGGAGGGCTCGGAGGTCTCGTTTCCAGGAGGAGTGAAAGAGTGCCAGCGCGAGATAAATTTAGAATCGAGTACCAGGAGGTCAGAAATTAGAAAGAGGTAGTGGACTATAGTACAATAACTTTTTAGTAGAGAACTACGCGGCTCTATGAGATAGCCGTCAAAGGTGAGACGTTGACATTTTGTCAATAGTAGTAAATAAATATGTCGAATAAGAAAATTATTTACAGATTTGAAGAAAAATTAATAGAATAGCGAAAATCGCTATAAAGTTCGGTTTTCATTGCGGACCTAGCCAGTCTAATACTGGGACAATAATGACTATGACGCAATGTACATCTGTAGTTTCATTGTATAGGCCACAGGTAGGTATATAGGAGTTATGGTTGTATGTATACCCCCTTGCAGTTTTGGACATCCAACATTAGATTTAGGGCCAAAACACGTATTTTTATTTTTTGCCATCACATCGTTTTTGTTTTTAAAGGGTCGATAAAGAAACAAACAATACGAATTGATGCGTGGTTCAGCATGGACAGAAAAACGCAAAAAGCGACTTCATTTTATACTGATAAAAAACAACGTTTTGTTGCAGGATATCCGCTGACATTCGACTCGGAGGACCCTACCACAAGAGTGCTGAGTACTCTAGCAGTAGACGCGAGCGCAGCCCCCCCGCCTGACAATGCGGCTATGCAGCAGCTCACCAGGGCGCTTAGAACTAGGTACCGCTACTAATATTCTTTAGGAAGTGTATAAAGTGCCACTAGCGGTATCCTTTCGCTGCCTGCTAAAAAACGACAAGTCTAGTCTTATCTTATAAAGCAACCTATCCACTGCCTATTTTTTATTCTATAAATATATCATACAGCATGTAAGCTGAAGCGACGAGTGCAGAAGTACCGGTTGCGAAAGATCCTGGTTATTTTACCTTCAACTCGGATCATCAGGTAAAGTGTTCATACGACAACCTTCAACAATACAATCCTAGAATAGTAGGGTATTGGTTGAACATATAGTTCCAATAAAAAAATCGAGACATACATTTTTATAGTCAATTCTATCAATAAATAAAAAAGTTGAATTAAGAACATTAACTTTAGGATTTAAAAACCTCTTATTACTTACTCACTATTCATGTCGTGTCGAACGTCATTAAACATTTATTGCTATTAAAAACATGTTTCTCTGGTAATGCAATATGTATGTATGTAATCAGTACAAAACATAAATGTCTCGATTTTTATAAGAAATGTTTTTACCACATGTGACATGGCAATATATGCCGCTAAAGCAAATGTCAGAATAGAAAATACTTTCATCTTAAAACTAGAGCATCACATGATACTTGCTGCATTTTCTCGACAATGTTGGCTGTGTTTAAATGTTTGGTTATTGCGAATGACGTTGCAAACTAATGGCACAAAATAGAGAGTTTACAGAAGGTTCACTCGACCCTATTTAGGATTTTCGCGATTGTCGTTTGTTACATAGCCATAGTTGCTACTGTCAAATTCTCAAAGTATTAGAATATCAAAACAGCAAAATCTGATAAAGAAAGCCTACTTGCTTGTGTATAATATAATCATTAATCTCTAAAATTAGTGGACCGATATTAAAAATTCTTTTACCGCTAGCCAATTACATCCTTCCCAAGTAGCGAGCCTCTATTCAGCGATTAAATGAATTCTGCTGTTGTGATTTGATTATTTACTTAGGAGAAAAATGAGCTTAGTGGATGGTCTGGATTGATTTTATCTAGAGCTGTCGCAAGTAATTTTTTATTTCTAACTAGGGTCCCGTAACCTGTTTCACTCGCTACCATTCATTTTACCGGCATGTGTAATATAAACCTTCCTCTTGAATCAATCTATCTATTACAAAAACCGCATTAAAATCCGTTGCGCGGTTTAGGAAGAGTTAGCGAATTAGACAGACAGATAAACGCAAAAAGCGACTTCATTTTATACTATGTTTTGATAACCTGCGAACTAATATAATTTTCATCTGCTTGTGCGATTGATTATCTTCTTATTGTACCATCGGCATACGATCAATGTAAATTTTATACTATTTACTAAAAGCACCGATTGCTGTGCGTGACTGTTGGCAAAAACTATATATTTTGGATTGGCTTTATTGATTGATGGATGATGCATATTGGTACATCTCCATTAGAAGCAATGATGCGTAACAATTGATATGTAGCCGTTTCGTTCTCTACCTTAGGCCAGCTGATGCGATTTCTATGTACGTAACTAAACTATGCGTGCGATGACGGATTAGAATAGAAACTCCCCATTTCCACTCGTGGGTGTTGTATAAGGCGCCTAAGGCAAGTATCCAGAGTATGGCCAGCAGCGTTCGCTGTTAATATATAGAATACCTTGCACTCGCCAATCCGCCTGCCAGGCGTGCTTAGTTTATAGGAAATACCACAGGGCAATACCCACCAATCGGGGGAGACCCATGCTCCGACTGTTGTGGCTGTAGTAGTAGTAACTAAACTTGCCATTTTAACTTAATAATTTTTCCAGATTCAACCTAGACTCGCCAAATCACGAGCAAGCCAGCCCGGGCCGCGACGAACCGGACAATTCTCCCACCACTCCACATAGTCCTGGACAGAGAAGACTGCTATCCAGGTAATAAGAATCTTCACATGTGGGCGAAAATGGCGTTGCGTGGCGTTTATTGCAGTGGCAGACCAAGTATTTTTTACATAATTTATCATTAAACAACTGTACGTCCTATAACCATACTTAACATGAGAGTAGC